TCCTCCTGCTCCTCTCCTCCTGCTCCCTGCCGGACCTCAACCACGACCATCCACGCCCAGTGTTCCCTGCCGGACCTCAACCACGACCATCCCGCCCAGTGGTCCCTGCCGGACCTCAACCACGGCCATCCACGCCCAGTGTTCCCTGCCGGACCTCAACCACGACCATCCACGCCCAGTGTTCCCTGCCGGACCTCAACCACGCCATCCACGCCCAGTTTTCCCTGCCGGACCTCAACCACGACCATCCACGCCCAGTGTTCCCTGCCGGACCTCAACCACGACTATCCACGCCCAGTGTTCCCTGCCGGACCTCACCGCTAGTATCCACCCAAGTGGTTCCCTGCGCACCTCTGTAGGAAGATATGGGACAAAGATGTGGCAGAAGAAAAGTTAGAAAGAATGGTCAGACAAGTATGTTATATATTACTTGCAACTAGATATGCCAGAAATTGCCAGAAGAGGTTCAGATAGATGCCAATAGAATGCCACAAGGTCTGCAAATAGCATGCCAGATAAAAATGGTCAGATAGAATGCCAGATAATATGCCAGATAGAATGCCAGATAATATGCCAGAAGATATGCCAGATGATATGCCAGATAGAATGCCAGAAGATTTGCCAGATAGAATGCCAGAAGATATGTCAGATAGAATGCCAGAAGATATGCCAGATAGAATGTCAGAAGATTTGCCAGATAGAATGCCAGAAGATATGCCAGAACATATGCCTGATAGAATGTCAGAAGATTTGCCAGAACATATGCCAGATAGAATGTCAGAAGATTTGCCAGATAGAATGCCAGAAGATATGCCAGAACATATGCCAGATAGAGTGCCAGATAGAATGTCAGAAGATATGTCAGATAGAATGCCAGAAGATATGGCCCAGAACATATGCCAGATAGAGTGCCAGATAGAAATGGTCAGAGATATGTCAGATAGAATGCCAGAAGATTTGCCAGTAACAAAGTGTAATAATTTCATTGTGGGGCTCACACGAAGTAAAGTATTTTTTTTCACTATCTGATTGGCCATTTTTAAGGTCTGAACGCACTAATTTTTGGTGTATGTAATTCTGGAGCACTGCAAAAAAAACAAGAAAGATGACCCGGAAGAGGAAAAAAACAGAACATCCAATGTGTCACTGCAAACCGCATGAAAAGGCCAGTGATGCTTGGGCGCAGCACGAACGATTCCTCCTGTCAAAGTCATGGAATCGTGCTATATCGGTTTGTTTGGCACTCATGATGTATGCACTCAGATACTGATATGTACCAAAGACCCCGTGGTTTGGCGGACTGCCAATAAAAAAAAAAAATTTGAGGACGCTTGTTGTCGAACATGATAGGAGAGATGGCAGAAAATACTGCCTATACGCACTTTTTTCACGGTTTAGGATTCAGAGCTTTCAGGTTTTAAGTTTAGGGTTTTAGGGTTTAGTTTCGTCGTCTGGGAAATACCAAACCTGCCTTTGCGCATTTTTGGCATAAGGATAATATTCGGGAACACCATTCTAACTTACGCGCAAACCATACGGTCTTGCCGTATATGTGATATTGTCCTACTGTAGTACTACCATGCGCGGACACCACCATCTGCAGTTGTTGTTCACTGTGTTGTTTTGTGGATCCGGCCGTATACAACTGTAATCCCTCATTGAACATGTCGGTGTGGTTTCATTGTTTTGCTGCTTCCGACAGGATGGGGAAATGCTGTGGCAGTTTTTGGTGGCAGCGGCAAATATCTTAAATATTTAGGTTCCAGCCTTGGGTACCCTATCATGAACCCCAACTCTGCTCCATTTTGGGCTGAAGTGTTCTGTTTTGGATCTCACCAAGACAAACGAACCTTTGAACCCAAAAAAACATGACGGTAAAATCCCGGAATGACCGAAAATTCAGTAATCTGGGTTTCAAGGCGTGTACAACTTGCATATATGATGTATGTAATTAGAGGGACATGTATGTGACTATTATTATATACACATCCTATATCACAATGTATATACACATAGCATACGTGTGCGTCCCATCCACATGTGAATACATATATATATATCTCCTATTATATCTTTGTGCATACATGGCGTAGAAAAGAAATTGAATACGCAAACATAAATACATCTAGACTCTATATACTATATACTGTATGCTATATACATATATACATGTATGCATATACAAATATACATATGTACATGAATACATATATGCATATAAACCTAGATACATATATATATATATATACATCTATACATAGTTCCATGGATACAAGAACATAGGTACATAGATACATTTATACTCATTTCCACAGATGCATATGGACACATGTACATATGTACACATAAACATAAATACATAATTCCATATAGACATATGTACATATGAACATATTTTCATATATATATATATATTTATACATATGTATCTATGTACATATTCACATATGTACATATATGCATATATATATATATACCGTTATTTACCAAATGTATGTACATGTATGCATACGGTCTGTATGCATATTATGTATATGGCATGCGTGTATATACTTTTTTGATTCATGATTCATGATGCATAAATACATTTTTGCTGTATATATATATATATGGTCGTTATCTGCTTACATACATATATATATATATGCTATTGTATATGAACATATATTTTGGATATGCATATATATATATATCATGGTATATATTTTTTTTATTCATATGCATTTGTTTATATCTTGCGCAGTGTGTAAATATGTTTCTCGTGTGCAATATACACACATATATATATATGTATATATATATATTGCGCATTTCGAAGTATGCACATGTGTATATCTTGACATTGCATTTTTTCTGAATATATATATATATATTCTGAAAAGATTGTAAAATGCCAATGTATATATAAATATACAGATACATTTACATATATATATATATATGTTTTAACCGTTTCTTGGTTATGCACGTGTATACACGTAGATCATGTGGGTATACTTATATATACATATGCACCCTGTACGCACGTACGTACGTCCGTAGCTACGTAGGTACGCAGGCACGTGAGATCTCTTTGCTGTGAGACTTCTTTTCTGTGAGTCTTCTTTGCTGTGAGATCTCTTTGCTGTGAGATCTCTTTGCTGTGAGACTTCTATGCTGTGGGATTGCAACGGCTTCATGGGATTTCAATGGCTTCCAAACATCTGTAACACGGAAGATAGACATTCAAACTTCCCTTGATTATACATGATTATATGTATAATATATATATATATGAATATATTCAGACACAGAGAGAGATAGAGAGAGAGAGAGGGAGGCAGAGATAGGAAGATAGATACTATCTGCGGTGTTGGTGAATGTGGGTTGCTATGGGAACTATATACCTATTAGGTGGATATACAGACAGATAGATCGCTCGAGATCGATTGATTGATTCATTGATGGGTTGATAAATTGTTACAGACGAATAGAAAAATAGATAGATATGTCAGATATGTAAGTAGTTCCCAAGTAGTTACATAGAAAATTGGACAGACCATTACCACCATTACCACGTTTCCAACTGTTTCCTTCCACCGTCCACCCCAGGTCCTCATCACGTGGCTCCGCATCTGACATCGCATGTGTCGCTGCTGTGTTTAGCAGCCTTACATTCGACCTTTGGACCAATGCTGTCCTTTCCCATGCTGTTGACATGGAAATTTCCTAAAATATGCGTATGTACCCCCTTAAACCATTGGCTTTCCGATTGCTCATCATGATGATGTGGGGGTTCCCTCATTCTGGGAAACCTCCACACAAATCTAGTAGCGTCTTGCCTTGGAACTCACATTAGACATGCTCTTTGTCATCGAATAGGGCCGTACCATCATACCCGGCAATCGGAAGGACTGTATTACTGTATGATCTTGGGAAATGTCGGGATGTGGAAGCGCAGTCAGCATATAAGCTCCATAGGACTTGGAAATGCAATCGCGGGTCGGTCGCACAAAGTTCACCTCTTCTGGGCGTATGAGCGGCAAGAAACACCCCTCTGGGCAAAAAAGAAGACTCCTGTTTACCGGAAATCCCCTTTCAACCCAGGTTTTAATGGGAAAATCAGCGAACTAAATGGGAAATGGTCCAGCTTCATACTTGGTTGCCAGGGGGTATCTGCAGTATTTCAGCCGCACACATAGGGAGTGCTAGCAACAAATGGAGAGTGGTCACTGGCCATCCAACTACCAGCTAGCTTTCTTAACTCAACCTCTCGATCTTCAGCTCCCTTGGGCGAAGCTGACACCCAAGTTGCGTGACTAGTGTAGATATGCGAAAATCCCCAAAAATCAAACAAACATCATTTGGAGGTTTCCTAAAATAGGGGTACCCCCAATCATCCAAGTCATGGATGACCATGGAAAACCCCCACTAAGGCATCTGCAAAATCAATGTCTCCATCCTGGGATATCCTACACCTTCGGGGATCACCTTTGGGAAGGGCGGCACCGAAGCAGCGATCGGGAGGTAGTCAAAGAGTTCGGTGAAGCACTGCCAAACCTGTCAGAGATCTTCGGGCGACCCATCAAGGCTTAACTTGCTTGAGGCATCCAAAAGTCGGAATTTGGGGTTACAAAAATATCATACTCAGAGCGAAATTGTGGCATATCACGTTGACTGGACCCAAAAATTGCCCGCTTCATCCCAATGGCCTCAGTATATCCATTGGTGGCGGGGTAATGTGCATCCCTGCTCCAGGTAATGCAGCTGGTAAATCCTTAGGGATCCTTCCAGTGTGGTCCATAGGTGGCAGGAGCCTCCTTGAGACAAATTAATCCATTGAAAATATTGAAACATGTCACTAAGATCTGATGAACCTGGTGATGACCCTGGAACTTTCTCCAGGTAACCTGGTGTAGAAATTTAATGTAGAACATCCTTCAAGAGGCATCTACATGTCTACATCCGGGTCGCTAGGTTCACGACCCCGATTTCTGCAAGGGTTCGACGGACCCAGAAAACTATTCCAATTGATGTTGGTGGATAGCCATCCCCAAATGATTCTGCAGAGTTCTGCAGCTTTTGGGCTGCCCGGCTGTGGCATCCCCATACTTCCGCACGCACTCTGCATAGAAGCCATACACCTGGTGCACGGGATCCCGCCCGGAACAGCCATGAGCTGCGAGCGCTGCCGGGCCTGGGTAATTTGTCGGCTTTCATGATTTCCTCGGAGCAACCTGGCCAAGGGGAAGACTGCAAGCCCCAAGCTTCCCAGCAGCGCAACGCAACTTTGGCTGTTGCCATCGATATCAGGTAAGATGGGGAATGATTTGATGGGAAACTAACATCAAACGAGGATGTCGGCAATGTGTCGAGGTTGCGCAGCGGCCATGCAGATAAGGAACGAGATGCTGGAAAATCGTTACACACAGAGACAAGTCAAAGATTGCATGTGAAACGCAGTCTTGAAGACCAGCCACCAGAAGATAAATTCTGCATCAATGATTCAAATATATTCAAATGATTGATTTTGATAGTGGGCTTTCTTGAAATGGGGATCCCCAAAGCCAAAAACCATTGGTTTCCAATCATAACATGGTTTAATTTGGAATGGTTTGGGGTACCCCCATTTGAGGAAACCTCCATATGAGTGGATCCCTATAACCCCTGCACCATTGGCGCCCCCACGTGATACGTTCGGGATGGCTAAGCTTCAGCAGTGCCAGCAACCTCGCCATGGTCGTTGAGCACCCATCAAGCTCAATCATATTCACATAAACATGCGTTGGTCGTAAAAATCCGATTGCTTTCATTGAAAACCCATGTTGATGGCTTAAAGAATGTTCAAGAGAGAGATATACAAATTGCGTATATACATACTTGGCCAGCTCAAAACACAATCGTGACCTCCGTTTATTGCTCCCAACAGCGTCTCCCCCTTTCTGGTCACCCAACATGATGGTCTCCACGGAGAAGGGGCCGCGGTCCACATAATCCCCCAGGAAGAGGTAGTTGGTATGTGGCACCTTGGCTGCTCTTCGAACACACGGGGTTTCCCTATGGGGTTTTCACCAGGCCACCCAGCCGGTCCACCGATGTGGAAGAGTTCCAAAAGGTCAAAGACCTGGACCCCGAAATTGGAAAAAATGGGTGCATCATGATCCAATAGTTACTGTCCTTAATTACTGATAGTTACTGATAGTTACTGATAGTTACTGATAGTTACTGATAGTTACTGATAGTTACTGATAGTTACTGATAGTTACTGATAGTTACTGTACTTTGATCTTTGATTGTCAATCTTGGATCCCTATGACTGATTATTGCTCTCACATTGTATCACTAGTGTTCTTGATCTTGGATTACAGTACATGACAGTCATGTGTATTCGTATTAAGTATCATGTTATTTGGATGATTATGATTGTTGGTACATCTTACAATAACTAGGACTATCATCATTATTGGGATAATAGTAAATCTTTGCCCAAACATGGGACAAGTAATTAAGGCTTTCTTCACCCTTTGGAGTCTTGGGGGTCTCCCATGTTACTCATGGCATTCCGGTGAGCCAACCTGGCCATCGGAAGTTCCCCCCCCCGTTGTAGATGATTCACATATGAAAATAAAAGCTCAAAAGGGTTTGTCTGAAAATAGGATACCCCAAATCATACAGTAGGTGTTTACATTGATCTATCATCATTTTCCCTCTGAACAATTGCTATTTGGAGGTTAATCCCGGATTTTCAGACTCGCCAAGACAAGGACTGCAAGAGGGCACGAGTCTGCTCTTGCGTTTCTGAGTTTATTCTGGTTGCGTTCCCATATCTATTGTCTATTTTCTCATGTCGCGACTAACTTGTCATCATATATCTATAGTATTATATATATATATATTCTATAGTTATTCAAATATAAATATATATATATATATAATTGTATATAGTAGATAACTGTACTAAAGAACTATCGATATATATATATATAGCTGTTGAAGTAACTCTATATCTATTGTCATGTTCTCAATGTGCATTCCGCACCGGAACCCCCCACCTGGCCATGGACATCGCCCACCACCGTCACCGGCGCCGGCACCGCTTTGACGTTGCACTCTTTGGCCAAGACCAATCGTAGGCGCTGAGGCCGTGGGGGACCATGGGGTGCTGATGACCATGGAGGTCTCCGAAACCCTGGAAAATGCCAGAGAAAAAGGAGGTTATAGCATGTTATAGCTACAAAATACCCAAAATAGCTGGTACTGATGGATATGTGTGGCTGAATTCATCCCAAAAAAGACTGTTGAAGGGTTTGGACCCCTCGAAAATGGGGTGTCCATCATTACTTTACTGGGATGTCAATGAGTTCCAGTATGTTACAGTCATATTAGGGGATTAAATATGATAGAATGCATATAACCCAAAATAAAATGGGAGAGCAGTTCAAATCTACACTACAATGTTTCAGGGATGAACATTCGTATGTGAGCCATGTTTCAACTTTCACCATAGTAATGACCTAAGTTTGGACGCATACCCAAAGCCACTAAGTCACTAGATTCACTATAGTTCCCCAACTCCTTTCATGGCTCTATGGTTGGATCCCAACCAAGGAGCAGGCCCAGTTCACCTTTATCCCGAAAGCTACTGGTCGGTTGATCAGGGTTCCATATCGAAATCCATAAGCACAGGGTAAGGCCCCCCAGATATAAGTTGGTTTACAAACCCATTAACTTTCGATATAAAATATCATGATATATCATGATATATCATGATATATCTACCATAAACCTACTTAACCTACCACTACGTAGTTATAAACCAACTTAGCTATCGTTCGGGGGCCGCCCTGCCTCGCAGAGGGCTTTGGTGGTGCGACTGTCCAGGAGTTGGCAATTCAACGCCTGGCCAGCTCTAGCCGGAGCGATGATGTTATGATGTTTGTTTTTTTATGGGGATTTCATGAGGATTTCATGGATTTAATATTGTTTTATGGGGATTTCATGAGGATTTCATGGATTTAATTTGGATTTTTTATGGATTCTAATGGGATGTCATGGGAATTGACCCGGCGTCATCAAACGCGGTTTGCTGGAAATCCAGTATGTAGTTCGATGATGTTCCATGATTTTACCAGCTATAACTCTCCATTTGCAATTAGGGAATTTTCCAACCAGCCACGTTTGAGTACCGGAGGGGATCCACCAAAAAACAAACGAAACTCAGCGGTCCATCTGGAGGTCCCCAATATGTCGTGGATGTTCACCCATACGTCTTGAATGTATCCTAGCTAACCTTCCGTACTCCAAAAGAAAATAACAAAGTGGTTGATCAAAGTTGAGGTTTGGCAGGATGGTCCAAGCAATTGTTTTTCTATCGTAGCCAAACCATCAGTTGGTTAATCTATGTTAATCTTATCCAAAAACAATGCCTGGAACCAACTCAACCACGGGTATGAACCTTCTCGGTGGCCGCCTCAACCTAAAATCGGCTGGGCCGCTGGAGATGAAGAAATTTTCATGGAGATCTAAGATGGGGTCCAAATGATAGGAACAAAACAACATTTCAAAAGAAACAAGGCTTAGAAAGTAATTTGCCAGCAGTTTTGATGGCAATTTCGAAGTATGCCCTCCCTGGACAAAGCCAGATGGAAAGATATGAAAATCTGGTATTTCACCACCAAAAAATATACGTAAGGGATCGAACCGAAAAAAGGCTGGGGACACATTCATGGACATTCAGGGACGGTGATGGTATAGCAGCGAGTTGCCCAAAATGGGGCAAACCAATCCATTTCTAACCTTAGATACCCTCCAAAAACTATAGTAACTATAATTCTGTTTCAGCCGGGTTGTATATTCCTCCATTTACCACATAAAAATTCAGCCATAAACCCAGAGGGTTAGGGGATCTGATCCCATCCCGTGCCCTACACTCAATCACTCAGGGCGCCAAACGTCAAAAGGCATGCGCCGGAATCACCTCAGGAGGGCATGTTGGGCAAGCAGTTTGCAAGCCATTCTTCATCATTTCTATGTTTCTTCCACAATGAGGCTTAAACAATGAAAATTAGGTACCATGTGTGTATCATCATTTTCCGCGTACAGTAAGTATTCTAAGCCATGTCCATGTGTCAAGTCTATCTGGCTAAATTGTAATATTTCACTAGTTCACCAACCTGAATTAAGGCCACCAACTTTCAGGCCATTTGGGGATGATTTCCCATAGATTCCACCATGATTCCAGGGTTCGGTCGCAGTGAGGTCGTTATCCAATCTATACCTCCCAGGATCCAGACCCATCCACATGGTTTGATGTGGTCTGTGCTGTCGGATCCAAAAAAAAATCATGATGTAATTCCGTTTGCTTTCCAGGTTTTGTGGATTTGCATGGGTTTGCTTGTTACCATGGTCGTGGAGTTGCTTTTTTAACTTCTAAACCACTTGTTCTTTGATCAGCTGTATGGGACTTGAGCAAGCTGCGGAACTAGCAGCGATGCAGCGTCCCAAGATTGGACAAAATAGGCTTCATTGGATGCATGTTGCTTCATGTCATGTTGGTTTTACCTGAGAGCAAGCAGCTTTGCGGGAAGAAATGTGTGGGTCCGGGTCAAAAGCCTCGTACTACTCTGGGTTTCAAAATCTCGGGTACATAGAGATCTTAGATGTTCATCCCCGCATTCATCCCATTCATACGGGAAACTCATAGGTGGCATGACCCACATCGACCGAATTCTGGGGATTTCTGGGGTATCACTTTGATGCCACTGGCTCCAAGATTCACGTCGGACAGCATCCTGCTATAACTGGTTCGTACCGAAAATTGGGGGTACCCCCAAACCATTGGTCTTCCTTTTCTGGATTTTTGGGTCCCCCCATTTTAAGAACCCCTTCATTGATCTCTTAAGTGCAGCAAAATAGCCCCCAGATCCACCAGCTTTTCAGTACTAAACGCTGCAGTTCTCTCCGATCGATGGTGAGACCTGTCCAATCGTCGGCTTCAGGCATCAGAGAGATCCACCAGGTCTTGTAGCTTCGTTTGGCTCCATGATGGGACGATGGGACTGGGACTCGGCAACAAAAAACATGGTGCCCCATGGGTTTCTTAGACCTGGATGGTCTCCGACCCCATCTCACAGTCTATGACTGGATGCAAGATTCCACAGCGCTAGGTGCTGCCCAAAAGCAACACTCGACCAAACAGAATTGTCATTGACGAAGGAAAGATATTCTGATATACCCTGAATTTTGATCCTGTTTTGCGACAAAACTGAGTATGTTGCATGCATATGTACGTGTAATTACATATATATATATACAGATTATATACATCATATAATACACAAAAACGAGACAGCTTTGCAGTTGTTGAAGTGGAAGAATCAGAAAGTTTGCACCGCGTGGGTTGCCCATCAAACAGGGTGGAAGATGATTGATCCCAACATGTTACAGGATGGATTCTTGATTCTTGATGTCTCAAAAAAAAAACTGGAAACCCGTGTGGTGTTTCATACATACCTTGCCTTCAAGCTGATTGGATTGAGAAGTCCAACGAAGGGATTGTGTGGGCAGCGCCAGCAGAACGAGCGCGGAGCCCTTCAAGAGCAGTGTGAACCTCTTCCAACCATCAACATGATGCAAAGTGACAAAAAGCTCGGGTGGTAGTAAGACTGTCAGAAAAATGCCAATCGGATCCAATCAGCACAAAGATGTCATTTCAGAGAAATCTTCCTGCATAAGCGCTTCTAGTACGTATATACTTGCTTCATCTTGGTTCCTTGCACACAGATCGGGAATGCTCTTTGGATGGATCCAGTATTTTCACTAGGCAATTTGTTTGATGGATAGTTGCTGGGACCCATGTGGTGAAAACATATGTTTTTTTCTATGTTGCGACCCCTAGCCAATGAAAGCTCCTATTCTTGGGATGCGCAGGGGCTTCACCAGGTCTCTCTCAAATCGTAGTGGAGTCTCATCAAATCAAGGCACCCTTCAATAGAAGAACGCTTCGTCTTAGGCTTGAAGACTTATGGCCACAGACATTTCATGATTTTCATGGGTGATACCCTCATACATTTTACATGAAGGGTATGTACTCTGTGCGTACTAAGGACCCATTTGTCAGGGCCAATGGGCATGGCAATGCACAACTTTAAGGACCACCTGCTCCCTTGTTCCTCGGCCCATCGCTTCCGATGGTCGGAGTTCAGTATGGCTCCCCATTCCGGCAGTGGTTCAGAAAAAAAGAGACAACGGGTAACGGGAGATGTTAGATCCAGTCGCTGTTGCTTGAAAGTTGGCAAATGGGTGTCAGAGTTGTACGATTGCGAATTGGACATATATTTTCCCATTCAAAATGGTAATTTTCCATGGCTATGTTAAATAACCAGATGGTATATCCCGCAGATTGTCAAGTAGAGGTGGATGAAACTGGAGGATTTGGGGATCCCGCTGTTGGCAGCAACTGAGCTGACACAGCTTGCTGAAAAAAAAAAACACTTAGTTCGATGATTTTCCAATGCCCATATTACCGGAGGGTAGCCAAGGCTGTTCCTATGAGCCTCAGAAAGAAACTTGATACCAACTGCAGACACTACATAACAGACACTTCTGAACCACGTTGCCGGAGTTTGCCGGACCCTTCGTGAAGGGAAATAAACCGTGTTTAGCCCTCTGCGTCCCAAACCCAAGGCTACCGCATGACACCTGCCTACCATGGCTGCCATGGCCACGGCCAAAGAAGTTCCAGCATCGAGAATGGCTCGCAAATACGAATCGACTGGCAAGTTTGGTCAGTTCCAAGTGGGTGGAAATTGGGTTCCCAACATTGGAGGTTTGGCCGGCTTGGTCGCGACAATTACCTACAGCAGGGTGTCTGCAGTCCAAAAAACCTGCGGCTTTAGCCATTGGAAGTCCAGCGACTCTGCGACAGCAGAGGCATCCGATCGTTTTTTTGAAATGAGGATATCGCCAGAAAGCTCTGGAAATATCTGGAAATCACCCAGCAAAAACCGAAGGGATGCCTCTGGCAAGGACTTCATCGCCACGGTGTCGCACTCATCCCTAAATGATGGACACCTGCCGTGGATCCAAAGTGGCCTGGCCAAAATAATCTCCATTTCTCTGGATAGATTACAATACATAATGATTCACTAACCTGAAATAAGTGAATTGATGCCATTTGGGCATGATCCTCTTCACCCACCACCATGACGTCGTCGCGACGTGAGATCGTTATAATTTATCATGATGTATCCATTCATGGATGATTTTCACGATGGCCCTCTTGGCAGCTGACCCATGTTCAAGCCTGAACCTAGGCCTTGAGATTTGAATCTTTACTATCTCATGTTCGATCATGGTACTGGCAACAGATGTATAAATTCCCAGACATGGATCCAAAAACAATCACTGATAAAGTTCTGAAATGGGTTGCTTGAAATCCTCAGATATAGAGACTGGGCATCTTTGGTGGGGGCGAATCATGAGAAATTCACTCATCTTCCAGTAAAATTGAGACCTCTAAGACCAAGTTCTTGCCGTGCGACATTGGGAGAGAGCCTTCAGAAATGGGGTGACATTTGGTTCAGTGGTTCCCCAGCTATATCTCTTCTGCCACAAGACTTGTTGTTGCATGTTGCAAACTTCGAAAACCTGCCACCCTGCAGCCCCTATTGAATCTCTCCTGGCCTGCAATGATGCTATGGCTCTGCACAACCTGAGGAAGCGCTGGTAGTTTCTGGGTCCGCTGAATGAGTTAGGGGTTCAACCACTAGTGCAAAAAACGACTAAGAGGGTGATATCATCGCAGCTAAAGTGTGAAACTTCCGCGGGTTGCATCAACTAAGAAGTAGTTCCTTCACTTCAGCCTGTGGTGTAATCAAACATCCCAGCAACAGTTCGATGATTTTCCCAGCTACAAACCCCCAGTCATCCAGAAGCCTCCATTTATAGATGGATGTTTTCCCAATTTAAGCATCATAAAGCGGATTTTTCCCCTTTTGCCCATTTATAGATGGATTGTTTCCCATAAATTCCCCATTTCCTCTGGGCATGTCCTACCAAAAAAAAACTCCATGGCGGCCGCCTTCGTCATGAGATCGTACAGTTGCAGCCCTTCTGGGCACGATCCCCCCAGAGGTCGTTGACCTCATGGACCTGACGCAAAGGTCCACATTTGGGTGCCGGGTTTCACATATCATTAGATATCATCATATGTCATCCTAAACAGGTATATATACATGTCTACATATATATATATATTATGTTGTATTACATGTATGTATGCATGTATGCATGTATGCATGTATGCATGTATGCATGTATGCATGTATATGCATGTATGCATGTATGCATGTATGCAATGCATGTATGCATGTATGCATGTATGCATGTATGCATGTATGCATGTATGCATGTATGCATGTATGCATGTATGCATGTATGCATGTATGCATGCATGCATGCATGCATGCATGTATGCATGCATATGCATGTATGCATGTATGCATGTATGCATGTATGCATGTATGCATGTATGTATGCATGTATGCATGTATGCATGTATGCATGTATGCATGTATGCATGTATGCATGTATGCATGTATGCATGTATGCATGTATGCATGTATGCATGTATGCATGTATGCATGTATGCATGTAGGCATGTATGCATGTATGCATGTATGCATGTATGCATGTATGCATGTATGCATGTATGCATGTATGCATGTATGCATGTATGCATGTATGCATGTATGCATGTAGGCATGTATGCATGTATGCATGTATGCATGTATGCATGTATGCATGTATGCATGTATGCATGTATGCATGTATGCATGTATGCATGCATGCATGTATGCATGTATGCATGTATGCATGTATGCATGTATGCATGTATGCATGCATGCATGTATGTATGTATGTATTTATGTGTGTATGTATGTATATTGTATATTGTATATTGTATATCACTAGGTGCCAGATGGTGTTTGAATGTTGTACCCAATCTGATAGTTTGCAGAAGTCATGGAAATTCTAGATAGAATTCCAATTTACATGATTGCATGAAGGCCAATAAAGCAAAATTTTACAAGATCTGTCCAGCCAGTGGGTATGGCTCGGAAATCGGGCATTGCTGGAACCGCAAACTTTATATACTTACCAAATTCAATTCTGCAATATCCATTTGCGGGGGTTGATTATGTATGGATTAGATGGATGGATGGATGGATAGATGAATACGACAAGACAGGATAGAACAGAATAGAACAGATTAGATAGGTCGATAGATAGCTAGATAACTAGATAGGTAGATGGGTAGATAGTTAGATAGTTAGATAGCTAGATAGCTATCTATCCGGGTAAATGGATAGATCGGTAGATAGGTAGATGGGTAGATAGGTAGACAGGTAGATAGATAGCTAGATAGCTAGCTAGATAAACAGATAGATAGGTAGGTAGATAGATAGACAGACAGATAGATAGATAGATAGATAGCTAAAGAGGTAGAGAGGTATATAGGTAGATAGGTAGGTAGGTAGATAGATAGACAGACAGACAGACAGATAGGTAGATAGATAGCTAGAGAGGTAGAGAGGTAGGTAGATAGGTACATAGGTACATAGGTACATAGGTGGATAGGTGGGTAGATATTTACTTAAATAGATAGATAGAATGATAGACAGATAGACAGACAGATAGACAGAGAGGCAGAGAGGCAGAGAGGCAACAAAATAGATACTGCATCTACTGTATCCATTTAAGCTCCCCAGTCATCTTAATCCCCATTGGGGGCCTCCGAGAGCTTCTGCCCCTTTCTTGAAAAAACATGCTTAGCAGATCTTAACAATAGACCTGAAATCATTGTCACCATTGTGCATTTGTTTGCTCCACAAACCAAGTATCCCTTGCCCGTCTCCTTTAGGTCCTCGGTTTTCCCACAAAATCCGGGACACCGATTTGTTTTTGCTGCGCTCTTTGCTTCCGCGTCTTTCGGCCGCAGACCGTTGGCCGCAACCAATGAATGACAGTTCGCAGGGTGGAGTCACCCGGTTTCCCAGATCTGGATCAGTTGGATCTAAAACATTCAAATCTTGGCTGTCCGTGTGGCTCAAATCTTGGCTGTATCGTTTTGAGACCCCCAAAACTGTCGAGTAAAACTGTGACCAGTCTATCGGTCCATGGGTCTTCGATACTCGCTCGGTCGCTCGGGCCCAGGGCATGTTTTTGGTTTTAAAAGAATAGATCCAACCAAACAATAGAAAACAGTTAAGCGTTGAAGCAGATGCCCGTACCCTTAAAAAAACATTTAAAAAAAACTCCTTTCTGGGGGTTTTAGTGGTTTTAGTCGGCAGAGTAGGTCACCAGTCCTGGGAACCTGGTGCCCCATCGCCACGTTTGTTTGTGGACGAATCTACACCAAGCCGCAGGCCCTCCGCAAACCAACCAGCAATCATCCCAGCCATGGGCTCCAGCCGGGTCACTTCATGATCCTCAACCCAGATACTAAAACATCGTTATCTATCAAAACCCATCAAAACCCATCAAAACCCATCAAAACCCATCAAACAACCAAACCCATCAACATATCTACTGACTGTATCAACAAAACCCAGATAACCTCTTGTCATATCTATCAACATCCATCAACATGGCTCGTAGCCACTCATTTACGATCCGACAGGTTGGCTGCGACGGGGCCAATAGGCTTCAACATCCAAGCTCTACCACAGTTGTTTCGTCACATGATCCATTTCCCCTGAGATATTGAATGATCTTGATATATTATCTATATATATATATCATCTTTAAAATATGAGCTTCCTGAACAGCTTGGATCTTTGGGTGGGATGATCTCCATTCTCCCCTTTTGGCCCAGGCAATGTGAAGCCCTTCTCCAAGTATAGACTTGTCTGTTGCGAAGGGGGCCTCTCCAACGAAAATACTGATCATATCTGGGTAAATTATAATATTTCATGAACCTGACTTAAGGCCATTTGGGGATGATTCCCCTTATTAACCATGATTCCAGTGAGGTCGCAGTGAGGTCGTTATAATTTACCCAGATCATATGTGATCGTATGATATACACGGTACATACAGATCAAACTACAGAAGCCCTTTAGTAGACCACTTCATCCACGATTCGGCATGAAATCAATGGGACCAGAGGCTGGAGCTTGGGAACAAAATCTGATGACCCTGCAGTTTTGCACAGGAAGTCCTGCAAAGTGCTGGATGTTTCTAACTTCCTTTGTCACATCACCAGAGAAAATGTCGCAGTCCGTACGGCAAGTTTCGACTCATTGACAAAGGGTGGTGGAGAAAGAACTAAGATCCCAGGCTGTTGTTGTTCCCTTTGTTATCTCAGCACCATGTTGCGACAAAGAAATCAGAAACACCCCTGTTGACTGCCAAACGGCAAGAGTTTCGAAACTCGATGTCAAGGCTGCGTATTTTGAAGCGCTTGGCGGATGTCCCGCCCCACGAGGATAGCGCAATATGATCCCCACCAGAATCAAATCTTGTCCAATGGCACAAGAGACTGGGAGCCACTCCAGACTTGATATTTGCTGGAACACATCCCTGACGTATAATGCACCGACTCCTTGGAAGACAAACTATTTGAAGACCTAACCCGGCCCATGCAAAATTGAACCAATCCCTCATGCCCTGACCACCTGCAATACGCAGCTTGACCGGCACCTGACCAGGCCGGCAGGGTCTGAAAAATCACAGCCAGATCTGCCAAATACTTGGGACTTGGGACCTCAAAATGCACTAAAGTTGTTTTGATAAAAAAAATACTTCATAGATCTTCATAGGGGACACGGCATGTTTGGACACACCCATGTGTTTTTTTCAAAGCTGCCATGTGACCGATCATATTGGGTTTCGTGGGTGAAGTTGGGGTGTCATGTCATTCAAAAAAAACGGGCAGAGGAAAATTGTACAAGTGGTAGATTTACCCAAGGATCGCTACACGAGGACCGTCAAGATCAAATCACAAGATCTCTCCCCACAATAGAAAGCTCTGAAGGATCCCACAAGGATTTCCTAAGATCTTCAGAGGATCCCTACCAGACATCTTGTGCGAGCCGGCTTATGCGAGACCCTGGGGCACAAATGCGAACCCTCAATCACCTTCCCTAAAAATGTCTTGTTCAGTAGGGTTTGTTTGAAAAATATTGAACCCCCAAGATTTGATGGTTTAGGAGTTCATCCTTTTCAGAATAAAACATTATACCTTGATAGCATTGGAGGTTTTTCTACGTCATGTTTTAACAATACCCCCAAATGGCCATCGAGCCATCGCCATGTGTTGATGGCACCTCTTAAATGACCCGCTCGCTGCGCCGTCGTCGCGGGGCGTTGGGAAGCAACAACGCCTCCCCCTGCTGCGATGGGAAAACCCAGGTGGTACTCATCCAAATAGCCGGTGAATGGATGTGTATTCCTCTATGGCAATAATAAATGTTCACTCATCCCCATATGGTCATCAACCATGAAACTGGGAGTACGAAACCAAGAATTGTGGATTCTTACCTCCAAAAATTATGGGAATGGATTGCTATGGGCTAGAACATCCTTTCCCCCTCTGAAATGGCAAACTATGTCCCTATCTGGGATAAAGGTCCAATTTTGGGCCAACCCAGGGGTAACTTTTGAATTCCACCTGACTCTACGTTGCTATGCTCGTTACCAGTAGGTCTACATATGTCTACATGGTTTATTCATGGTTTATTCATGTTTATTCGTGTTTCATTTGCAAATGCTAGAGATACATATAGATATGGGTATGTCTGAAAATGGGGTATACCCCCAATTATAGCCATTTAGTAGGGATAATGATCATTAACCATTGGGTGTAGGGGTACACTATTTTCAGACAAACCCATATAGAGCTTCCGAATACTCCAACAGTTGAGTTCCAATGGATGCAATACCTGCAGTGGTCATCATCGTATCTCAAGCAGACATTCCTTGCCTGCCGCCGCAGCCGCCGCGACCTGGGGATCCGGGAACAGCTGGGAGTTGAAAAAATGGATGGCTTTTAGTGTCCAAATCTTGACCCTAAACCCTTCAGTGCCCTACAGTTAATAAGAATTCCCCATATCCTTGAATTCATCATCACAGATTCATTTTGGATTGTGATGATGATGCATCATCTCAAAAAAAAGGTCACCAAGTCAGACTGGCCCCCGCTCTGACAAGTCACACGAACGTTTTGAGACCCAAAGACAAGGCTGCAGAGGCCTCAGGAAAGGGATGGATACGGACCCGATTTTGATCCCATGTGCCAGTGATTTTATCCATTGACCAGGGGCACGTTCTACACCGTTCTTAATGGTTTCAATGGTCGGTCAGTTGAAGGGTGCGTATAAACTGCGGCTGTCCAGATTATCCAGCATTCAAACATCTGCATGGTAATTATCTGAGCACAGGAGGTCTTGGTTCACAATGTGGCAGTGCCCATTTGAAAACACCGACATTTGGGTATGGGTAAACCTCTCAAAATGGATGCTTCACACGAATAATTATACAATACTAAAAATTACCAATGAAGGTACCCTTGAAACTCCTTCAGTCCTGTGTTTCAATGCGGCCAAGGTTCTAAGGTGATGAGCAGGGTAAACTGGTAAAAGAAGATTGGACGTTTGTGTTCAAGGCCACTGTTCACGTTCATACCTGGCGAGCGGTTTTTCGCAAAAAAACAGAAGACCTCTTGGGAGTACGCTTCAGCCTTTCCACTGCATGTGATTCCCCGAGACTATCCTCCAGAGCACTATCCCAAAAAACTCAGAAACTCTCGAACACTTTGGTTGATCTTGCGTGGGCGGACCTGTTTTTTTCATTTTTTCGCCAAGTTCACAAATACGTGGGTCGTTTCAATCTTCAATCTATGAGAAATGTCCAAGAAAAAACAATCCAAAGATCCAAAACATCTATATTTGGAAGATCCAGATTTTGGTATCCCTTTATGGACGCCCATGTTTCATGTCCACCTTAAAACCCTAAAACCAAAAGAAATGTAGGCCACGAGCAAAAAAACTGGTTTTCAGTTCAAAATTGTTTTTGAAAATCAGGTTATTTCAAAGCACCTACATTTCACCCCCTAATATTGCCATGTTTGAACTATTTGTCAAGAACACACATGTTTTGGTACATGCTCCTAGCAGGTTCTGATAGCCGGATCATTGCCTGGATCCTGCCGAGGCAAGGACATACCGATGGAATTATTGCGTCTGATTCAAGAAAACACCATTTACGGGTGAAAACATGGGGTCTTTCCAATAACCTGGTTCTCAGTTGGGCCAAGTACGCCCGCTCGTTTCCTCTGTTCAATTCTCTGGGTGCGGGCGGTTCTCCTCATGAAGCGACTCGAATAACCCGTATGTATCTCGTACAACCCCGGAATTTTGGAAATCCCTCCAAGACCAGGTTTTTCAGAACCCGTTTTTAACCGGTACAAAGCCCGTAACTATCCCATGAAAACCCGGGACAGAGTGCAAAAACCGGAATTTTGAACTCCAGTTTTTGCTATTAAAAAAACAATCGCCAATTTTTTGAGACCCCAATTAGTGATTTTTGCGGGAAAAACTCTCCGAAAGCCCCCAATTAGTGCAGGGTATATAAAAATCCCTGTTTTCTGGGGGTATATAGAATCTGGGGGTATATATATATATATATATACCCTGAATCCATGATTTTATATATCTTCCCATATATTTTCCAAGGCACCGAAGATACCAGAGACCACCGCGGCGAAGTTCATGCCCACACCCAACAACTCCTGGGGCCCCAACGGTGTCATCCACGGCTGGAAAATCCCTATGAATTGTGGGAAAAACATCGGAAAATCCAGGAAAAAATTGGAAAATCCCTGATAAATGGAGGTCGTAGCTGGGAAAAATCAACTCTAAATGGGAGATTTACCAGCAAGCCATGTTTGACTGCCGGTGGGTACATGGCGTTCATCCCCAAAAATTTTGAGGGATATGGATTGGGATTTGTTTGCAGCAATGTGTCCTTCAAAATGAAAAGGGGTTTTCTGGACGATTGTTTTTTTTAAGGATTTACTTTTATATATGGTTTTTCTATCTTTTTGGGGGCGGCTATAAATACCATAAAGCTCCCATGGAGTGGAAGTTTTGTCCCATTTCTGCTGAGTCGTTGGGGATGGTTTTGCCGCTGGGTTTACCACATGACCATCTGTTTTCCAATAAGAACTTGAGCAACTCACAAGGCTGTGAATCAAAACCCTGGTGCCATTCTGTTCACATCAAATAGCTGTGATTTATGGATGTTCATGCCCCGCGATATCTGGCATTCTGTTCAAAACCCATGAGAAGTTGGGAGAATCGTTCTAAAAAATGAAGGGTTGAACCAACAAAAAAGTTGGGAGAATCAGAACGGAAAATAAGGCGTGATGGGATATAGAAAAAGAAAATGGGTATAGCAGCAAGCCGGGATATCAGCAGCTAAAGACGGGGGCTTGAAGCGACAGTTGAAGCAGCGAAGATGAAGCCGATACCGTTCAATATCCTCAATGTCATTAAGTCTCGCTCATCATTGTTTACATCCATGGTTGCAAGCTAGGCACACATGGTCTTGCTGCTTCTACCACCCCCCATGTCGGCTCAAATGCCATGAAATCTCATGTTTGATGGCCAAATAACACCTGTTCTTAAATGTTCTAAGAGCATAGCAATTTTTGCTCCAAAAAATCACAAGTTGTGGGTTTCCAGGGTTCCAGCTCTCCGGTTCCCAACAAACGAACCACTCCCAAACCCCACAGATCCCAACAGTCACTGGGAAAACCTGCTGGGATGCTTGGGTTCCAAGTTTTGAGACATCGCCATTTCATCGTCCACGTTGGAGGTTCTTTTTTGCGTAAATCCACTGGTGAAGCAGAAGCATCGACGTTTTCCGAACATTAAAACGGCCATGCATTGGGGTATCCCCGATTTTCAGACATATCCAAAAATACACTGTTGGCGATATTTCCCATGATATCCCCATGAAATATCCCCAAAAATGTGTTGGTTCTATGTATATATGTTCACCTAGAAAGCTATAATCTCATTTTGTGATGGTCAAACAGCGTTGACCACTTTCCATAACCAAAACATTGTGGGATTGCGCTTTCCAATTGATATTTATCACCGTTTCATGGTCCCATTTCATTTTCGAACATATACACATCTACTACCATGTCATCACTGTTTATAATACATATATATATATATACATATATATATATATATATACATACACGTACGAATGTTCCCCATTATATCCGCCGACCCCAGCCGGATGCTGGGGGAGCGCGCTGGAGAAGGCCTGCCCTGAAGAATGCTCAAGGGACAGACAGAGACAGATAGAGACAGACAGAGACAGACAGAGACAGACAGACAGAGACAGACAGATAGAGACAAAGAGACAGAGAGAGACAGAGAGAGAGAGAGAGAGACAGAGAGACAGGCAGACAGACAGACAGACAGACAGATAGACAGACAGACAGAAACAGACAGATACAGACAGACAGACAGACAGAGAGAGACAGAACAGACAGAGAGAGACAGAACAGACAGAGAGAGACAGAACAGACAGAGAGAGACAGAACAGACAGACAGACAGAGAGACAGACAGAGAGACAGACAGAGAGAGAGAGAGACAGACAGACAGACAGACAGGCAGACAGGCAGACAGACAGACAGACAGGCGCCGTTTGTGAGCCTCGGCGGCTGGAAGACAGCTAGATTTTCTTGTAGGTTCAGAAAGTGACGTTAGGCACTGGGGGCCGTTGCCCGCAGGCCCGGTCCGTCCCTCAGGCCCTGCTGTTTTGCTGTTTCGGACGCGCCGTTTGTGAGCTGCGGCGGCTGGAAGACAGCTATAGATTTTCTTGTAGGGTCAGAAAGTGACGTTAGGCAGTGGGGGCCGTTGCCCGAGGCCCGGTCCGTCCCTCAGGGCCCTGCTGTTTCGTTGTTTCGGATGCGCCGTTTGTGAGCCTCGGCGGCTGGAAGACAGCTTAGATTTTCTTGTAGGGTCAGAAAGTGACGTTAGGCAGTGGGGGCCGTTGCCCGAGGCCCGGTCCGTCCCTCAGGGCCCTGCTGTTTCGCTGTTTCGGATGCGCCGTTTGTGAGCCTCGGCGGCTGGAAGACAGCTAGATTTTCTTGTAGGGTCAGAAAGTGACGTTAGGCAGTGGGGGCCGTTGCCCGGAGGCCCGGTCCGTCCCTCAGGGCCCTGCTGTTTCGCTGTTTCGGATGCGCCGTTTGTGAGCTGCGGCGGCTGGAAGACAGCTAGATTTTTTGTAGGGTCAGAAAGTGACGTTAGGCAGTGGGGGCCGTTGCCCGGAGGCCCGGTCCGTCCCTCAGGGCCCTGCTGTTTCGCTGTTTCGCATGCGCCCGGCAAAGGTGGCAGTCGGCAGCTTCCAGAGCTATTTTTCTAAGGGCTTCAGAAAGCAACGTTAGGCACTGGCGCCTGGCCTTGGAACACGCGGTTGGGACCAGCAGGCCCTGCTGTTTCGCTGTTTCGCATGCGCCCGGCAAAGGTGGCAGCCGGCAGCTTCCAGAGCTACTTTTCTAAGGGCTTCAGAAAGCAACGGTAGGCAGTGGCGCCTGGCCTTGGGACACGCGGTTGGGACCAGCAGGCCCTGCTGTTTCGCTGTTTCGCATGCGCCCGGCAAAGGTGGCAGCCGGCAGCTTCCAGAGCTACTTTTCTAAGGGCTTCGGAAAGCAACGTTAGGCAGTGGCGCCTGGCCTTGGGACACGCGGTTGGGACCAGCAGGCCCTGCTGTTTCGCCCCGTTGCCCGCAGGCCCGGTCCGTCCCTCAGGGCCCTGCTGTTTCGCTGTTTCGGATGCGCCGTTTGTGAGCCTCGGCGGCTGGAAGACAGCTAGATTTTCTTGTAGGGTCAGAAAGTGACGTTAGGCACTGGGGGCCGTTGCCCGGGGCCCGGTCCGTCCCTCAGGGCCCTGCTGTTTCGCTGTTTCGGATGCGCCGTTTGTGAGCTGCGGCGGCTGGAAGACAGCTAGATTTTCTTGTAGGGTCAGAAAGTGACGTTAGGCAGTGGGGGCCGTTGCCCGGAGGCCCAGTCCGTCCCTCAGGGCCCTGCTGTTGCGCTGTTTCGCATGCGCCCGGCAAAGGTGGCAGCCGGCAGCTTCCAGAGCTAGTTTTCTAAGGGCTTCAGAAAGCCACGTTAGGCAGTGGCGCCTGGCCTTGGGACACGCGGTTGGGACCAGCAGGCCCTGCTGTTTCGCTGTTTCGCATGCGCCCGGCAAAGGTGGCAGCCGGCAGCTTCCAGAGCTACTTTTCTAAGGGCTTCAGAAAGCAACGTTAGGCAGTGGGGCCTGGCCTTGGGACACGCGGTTGGGACCAGCAGGCCCTGCTGTTTCGCTGTTTCGCATGCGCCCGGCAAAGGTGGCAGCCGGCAGCTCTCAGAGCTATACTTTTCTATAAGGGCTTCAGAAACCAACGTTAGGCAGTGGCGCCTGGCCTTGGGACACGCGGTTGGGACCAGCAGGCCCTGCTGTTGCGCTGTTTCGCATGCGCCCGGCAAAGGTGGCAGCCGGCAGCTTCTAGAGCTACTTTTCAAAGGGTTTCCGAACGCGTCGTTAGGACGGGCCAGGTTCACGCGGCTTGGCCACCTGCCATTGGCTGGTTTTGCATTCCCGACACACACGCACATACGCCCACATACACACCCACACACACACACCACACACACACACACGCCCACATACACACCCACACACACACACAGAGACACATACACTATATGCCACACTACTCCCCAGATCTCCCCATAAATGCCTCTCTGCGAGGCCCTCCCTGTTCAGGAGTTTATATATATATATATATGGCCCCTATTCAGGGCTCTGCTCCCTGTGCAGGAGACTAATGATCCCTATCCGGTCCTCGGTCACGATGTCCTCCGCTTCTTCGCGTTCTTTTCCAGGGGTCGGCGGCAGGGGGCGTTAGCCCTTAAATTATCTCCACATGATATTTCCCACTATCTCTCCATAAGATGCTTGATTCTGTATATAGATATATGAGAAATAGCTTTAAGTATCATGAGAAATCATCGTCCCAATTCATCCCCATAAATCCCCATGATTCCCATGGTCCAAGTCTCCAAGGCCAACTGGGACTTCTCCAGTTCCAATCTCCGAGAGCTCAAGCGCAGCGAAATGAACTGCTCCAGGTCATCCATGGACTCGGCATGGGCTGCGGCCTGGAAGTCGGCGACTGGGCATCTTTATGACCGGTGAAGACCAGCTATCTGTATATCTGTATGTACGTATGTACGTATGTACGTATGTATGTACGTACGTATGTATGTATGTACGTATGTACGTATGTACGTATGTACGTATGTACGTATGTACGTATGTACGTATGTACGTACGTATGTATGTACGTATGTACGTATGTACGTATGTACGTATGTATGTACGTACGTATGTATGTATGTACGTATGTACGTATGTACGTATGTACATACGTACGTATGTATGTATGTACGTATGTACGTATGTACGTATGTACGTATGTACGTATGTACGTATGTACGTATGTACGTACGTATGTATGTACGTATGTACGTATGTACGTATGTACGTATGTATGTACGTACGTATGTATGTATGTACGTATGTACGTATGTACGTATGTACGTTGTACGTATGTAACAGTATGAAGTATGGCGGATGTACGTATGTACGATGTAGTATGTACGTTATGTACCATGTACTATGTACGTATGTACGTACGTAATGTAATGTACGTATGTACGTATGTACGTATGTACGTACGTAATGTAAGCGTATGGACGTCGTAATGGAGGTATGTACTTTGTATGTTTTCCGTACGTATGTAGTACTATGTCGTATGTACTATGTACGTATGTACGTACGTAATGTATGTATGTACGTATGTAACGTAACGTATATAAGTATGTACGGTGTACGTATGGGACGTATGTACGTATGTACGTATGTCCGTTTTACGTACGTAATGTCAACTGTACGTAATGACTATGTACGTATGTCCCGTAACGTATGTGCGTATGTCCGTACGTATTATGTATGTTGTACGTAGTAATGTATGTACGTATGTTGTACGTATAATGTATGTACGTATGTACGTACGTATGTACGTATGTATACGTAATGTTCCGTATGTATCGTACGTATGTATGTTTGTACTTATTTCACTTCTGTAACGTACGGTAATTGACGTACGTAATGGTAATGTCGTATGTAACGTATGTACGATGTACGTACGTTATGTCCTATGTAACTGTACGTATGTATGTATGTACTTATGTACGTACTTAATGTAATGTACGTATTAAACGTCTGTACGTATGTACGTACGTACGGATGTATTACGTACGTATGGATGTAATGTACTATGTACTATGTTAACGTATGTACGTTGTCGTATGTACGTATGTACGTACGTATGTAACGTATGTACGTATGTACTTATGTACGTATGTTACTGTCCTATGAATGTTACGTATGGACTAGTATGTACGTATGTACGTAGTAGTAGTCGTACGTAAATGAATGTATGTACGTATGTACGTACGTATGTACGTATGTACGTATGTACGTATGTACGTACGTATGTATGTATGTACGATTATGTACGTATGTACGTACGTATGTACGTATGTACGTATGTACGTATGTACGTACGTATGTATGTATGTACGTATGTACGTACGTATGTCATGTACGTATGTACGTATGTACGTACGTATGTACGTATGTCATGTACGTATGTATACGTATGTACGTACGTATGTACCTGGAAAACATAGTGTACCATAATTCCTGTCACTGCGCCACTGTGTACTATTTTCGTGGTCACTGCAGAATTGTGTTTTTTACCTGTTGCCACATGTGGCTACAAATGTGTTCATTCAGGCTATTGTTTGGGTTGCCCCTTAACAAAAGACCAGCAATTCTTTCACCCATGCCTTTTTGTCTCAAGCGCGGGCCTCTCGAGAAGATCCAAAGATTGAAAGGACTGCTGGGACATGTGAGTCCAGGGAGGATTTGGCCAAGAATGTTGTTGTAAATGGATTTGTATTTGATCCCACACTATTGATACTTAAAGTTCTTTCACAACATGGCAGCCAAAGCCACCTGATATCGGCCAAGTGTCCGCTCATGTATGGTTCGGATGGAAACAGATTTACTAAAAGTACATATCTTTCCGACAAAGTCTTCGTCTTGCTGTGTTGACCAACACAGCGGGTTAGGCGAGGGAAGATCATGTCTCTCCTGAAATTCCATCTCGAAAAGCACTTCTCCAAACATATGCTTCTTTGGTTGATACTTGAACCGAGTGAGATCGTTCCAGTAACAAATCTCAGCACATCTCTTGAACGCCTTGATAAAGTGATGGCCTGACTCAATCAAAGTACGCCTCTCTGCGACAGAGAGCCAAAGAGCAGCATGGTACATGGTTCGCATGAAGTGGTTTGCTGCCTTCACGGCCACAAGAATCTGATGAAACAATGTTTTCGTTTCATCGTCAGCCAAAGCCAGATCTGCACACTTCTCTGGTAGCACCTTTTCAAGAAATTGTAGAAGTGATACTGTGTCATTGCCTTTGAACCAATTCCTCAGATTCATTTTTTTGAGTGGAAAGATGGCAAAATATAGGCAGCAAAGAAACAGGTCCGGGAAGCAAACAAAACATGTTTGTATTTGTCAACAAGACGCCCTGCTGGAAACTCACTTGATTTCGCGAAGCCTAGCAGTTGACGCGTGAGGGCCAGCATGTGCAACTGTAAGGAATTCTGCGCACAGAAAGCTTTGAGCTCATCATAGACTACGGCACAATGGTCTTCAAAAGATGCAACGCCAAAAAGCTCACAATCGTAGCAGCACACCTGCAAGGCTGGAAACAGCACTAAAACGATGCCAACTGGAGAAAAAATGCCGCGCATGGCAACTGCAACAAAACGTACTTCTTAAGGCAAAAGCTAGGCACAATGACATTTGCAGCAAGGTCTGCCATAATGCCTTTATGGCATGTATGAAAGATGTCCACCTTGAAAAACTGCGGCTTGCAAGAAGGGTCCATAGGAATCTCGCGCGTCAAATCTGGTTCCCGGTTCCAAGGTGCAGGAACACCAGAGCGCATTGCAGACATGTTTGCAAAAGAAATGTCATGCCAGGGCTGCCCTTCCATACCCCCAGCGCATAAATGACAAATCCCTTTTCCATCATCACGAGAAGATGTCATCCTTCCATGGTGCCGGACCAAGTTGCCCAACTTCGATAGTGCTGGCCAATCCCCCTTCATTGCCACAGTGACCAGGAAAATGTTTTGAGGGACATCATCGATGGTCACATTGATGCCATCATAAAAACATCGTTCCAGTTGCAAGCACAGGCTGCGAACAAGAGCCATCAAAGGACGATTTTTCTTTTTTTTGCCACTGTAGACCTTTGCCAACATCACCGAAAAAAGAAAGCGAGTAGTCAGCGAATGGCCCAGCAAGTTGATACCAGGTGTCTCTTGGTCACCTTTTCTCTTCCTACTTCCCTTCCCCAACAATGGTTGTATTTGCAAGACCATAAGCGCTTTCTTTTTCACTGATGTGCCTTCGTCGGCATGGATCATCATCGGTATACATCTTGCAAGATGCGAGCCATGGATGCTAAACACTGGGTGTGATGGTTGGAGAAGTCTCCATTCCTCCCAAAATTGTTTAAATTGCTTCCCTCTGTTTCCCACCAAAAGCGTGTCGATTTTCTTCATGGAATCTAAGGCCGCAATGAAGTCACTAACAGCTAGGGCAGGATGAGGTTCACGAAGGCCAACATCCACGTAGGTCAAGGGGATGTTTGTAGACAAGTCAAACTTCGGGAAGTTGCTAACCAGCAAATTTTCATGTCCAGTTTCTGACAATCGTGTTGCAAGTCTGCAAAAAGCACCGCTAGGAACTTTGGTATCTTTCGGCAAATAAGGGGAAAATTCTTCCCAGAAAGCACGTACCAAAGAGCAAGCCTCTTTCTCAGTGACCTTAACTGGGATGCCCAGCAAATTTGAACATGCACTGAAAGTGAGGGGGTATAGTGTCCAAACATGTTCAAACCAATTATGTTTGCGGGATAAGGTTTGAAGTAACATTCAAATTTGTTCCTGCACCAAGAGTCCCCCTTGGCAATCGCGCTTGCCACAGCCTTTGCTGCAGGACCACATGGCGGAAGATCCTTTGAAGAATCTTGGCGCTGAGGACAGTGACCTGCGCATGGGGGCCGGGCTTCATTGGGATGAAAACGTCAAAAAAACACTCCATTTGCAGTGAAAGTTTTCTTTGGATTTCCAACTGAGCGGTCACAAGATTTGAAGGGCAGATGCAATGCATCCGCAGCCCCAGAATGTCAGATTAGTGGATGCTTGTCATCCAGATACCACCGAAGAACTGTCCAGCATCAAAAGGACATTTTTTTTAAGGATCACAAGTTGTTGAATTTTTGTTTGGTTCAAGCTGGAAGCAGAATTTCGACACCAGCAAAACGCGATGTACCAACTCATCGGCCAGGCGAAAGGTCGCAACCTGATTTGTGAAATTATCGGCATTCGTACTGAAAAAGGGTGGTCACACACACATGATTTCCACAATGCATGTCACCATTCCAGGATCAAAAGCTATGAAAGAAGGCACAAAGATGGGATGTCGCAAATCTCAGGTCTCAGCAGGGTCCCATGTCAGTGAAGATTCTTCATGCCCAGACCTGCCAACTTTAACCGTAAACATCCCCATAGCAAAGTATATCACGTTTCTCTCGATGCAAAATGCGAAACAATAACATGGAAAATTGTTGCAGAGTGGTGATGCCCCACCTGCTTAGGACTCCCTTCCCCTCTGTTTCTTGACCTTGGGGCACTTGCCACTCGATTGTGGCACCTCAGCCTCTTGCTCCTCAGCTCTTTGGGCCTTTCTTTTGCTACTGGCCTTAGGCGTCGCCTTGGCCTTCGCCTGTCCTGGCACCTTTGAGCCAGGAACGGTATCGGCCTCAGGCTTTGGAACTTTGGCACTTCGCAGGATTGTCCTGCAAGGGCACAATGCAGAAACGAGACAACTGCAGCCTTGGAAGTTAGGACTTTTACATCTTATGTATGCGTATATGTATAAATAATGATTTCCTCAATAGCCCATCAATGAACCAATATACATATACATTGGGGCAATATACACATACATCACACGTACCTCTTTACAAGTAATATCATATCACAAAATAGGCGATGCCGGACAATATATACAATATCTTTCATGTTCGATCATTCCCCCATTGAGATATATCGTCAACAGTGTGTGTACTGCTTGCAGTTGGCACCATGCCGGGAAAGGACATAAGACCGTCATAAGACCCAGACTTCTTCAGCTTCATCTCTTCCATCAAAGCACGGGAAGACCTGCATCAACACAGTATGCGGTTGGATGGGTTGATGGGAGACGTGAGTGGCAACATTGATCCAAGGCACTCCACTTCGATTCTGCGCTGCACGTCCCGGAGCTCTTTGACTTTCCTGTGTGGAAAGTCTGGGGCTGAATGGCTGGCAGTTTTTTTTTTTTTGCAGGTTGCTACTGTCACAAAATGCGACTAAGATTCGAATCATCAAACTTTTCCTCACAATCCATCTGTCCATCAAAGTAAGACTTCAGGTCTGCAATCTCATCATGCAGTTTCACCAGGTTATCCCTGTATCCGGTCACCTTGATAAGGCTCCTCAGCGAAGAAAGGAATCAGTAAAGAGAGAGATTGATAGAGTTACCCCAACATGTTGCCAACAGAGCACAAATGTCAATATTGGTGTGACGCTGCAAGTTGAATGGGTATGGATTCAAGGGACTGCTTTGCATCAGCGGAATCGATAGCGGACAGTCTGTCTCGAGTTGCTTCCATCTTAGACTGTACCCTCAACAAATTCGTCATGACAGAGGATACATTTTCGAGGGCCTGGGCCAGAAAGCATTTGATGGACATTTCAAACATGGTTTTGGATCAAGTGATATATATGTAATAATATGTATATTGATGTTGATGCTGCCATGTAAAAACACAGGGCCTCGAACACGTGCTCTTTGTCCATGTCTGGAATCCTGGGTGCCTTGTTGGAACCCTTCGAACGGACGCTGCCAGCTGCCCCATCAGCGTCAGAGTCCGCATCCCCTGACTCTCCGTCTGACTCAGGTCCATCATCGCCATCAGCAGCAGTTGGGTCACTGCCGGGGAGCCCCAGGTCAAAGGTGGTGGAAGTCCCATCAACAGAAGACTTGTCATACAAAGCTTCTTCATCCTCTTTCTCAAAGCTTCCCGTTGTAGCTACGTCGACCCAGTATTCTTTGACATCATGTTCATACTTGTCTCGCCTAGGCGGCAATATGTGTTTTTTTGTGCAAGTGAAACATCACAAAATGATAGACATGACAAACAACTGGAAGGGCTTTAACTGGCCTGACATGGGTCTTCACCCTGGACTTGTGAGTGCAAAAGGCACACGCAGCCTTGATTCGCTTCCTTGGCACAGAGACGGTCAAAACCCCATGCCTGGTGGTATAATATACCTTATAACAAAATTTCCCTTGAAAGTATAGGCCTATAGGTTCCAAGTATTGAACAGTTGAACAGTTTTGACCCATAACCATATCAAAAAATCTACGTTTTCAACCGTTTTGACCCATCCATATATCCAAAACCCATCAAACAAAGATGGCAGGGTGGCATCTTTGCCCTGAAATCCTATGGCCGCCTATGGCCCGGACGGCCCACTCCAAAGGAAATTGTGTAAGAGCAAATCATACGGATTGAAGCTATATGGTGACTAAACTGGAGATTAGATTCATCGACCAGCCCAAGTCTTTCTTCATTTGCTCCTTTGTATAAAAGCCTTTGTCCACCTTCACCGTGTTCTTTCGGGACCTCTTCTGAATGTGCTCCACTTCTTTTTTGAAGGCTTCCTTCAACATACCCCATCAAAATCCTTCAACATACCCCCATCAAGATGCTGACAGTGAGATTGACAAGTTTACCGAAACCGTTCATTCTTCAATTGATTGTTTGCATGTTGCTTCTTGAAACCGGCCTTATTTCCATTCGTTTTGATCAGAATATCAAGCAAAGCCTTCCTTTGGTCGCCTCCGGCTGCCCACTGCTTGTGGATCTCAGGGCTCACTTCAAGCCGTCCGCTTGACTCCTTTGGCCGGCACAGCCGACGAAGCATGGCGCTCAGTGCCTGCATCCCCCTGGTCTCTGCAGTGATCTCCTGCCCAGAGAGAGAGGGGAAAATCGAGAAACTGTAGAGGATGAGAGGGACACTGGTTAGAATAAATGCATGCATGCATATGAGCCCATATGATATTGTTGTTTTTAACGGCAAATCATATGCAACAAATATAAACAAATTTTCCTTTGAAAGGGGTCCTCAAAGAGAAAGGGGTCCTGAGCTGCGCACACACACAGTATATATATAAGATATACAGATCTATCAAGAAATATAGATGTATAGAGATATACAGGTTTATGTAGATATACTTAATTATACAGCTATGATAATATATATAATATATATAGAATACTCTTTTGGAGAATTTTGCAAGCCCCCATTTTTGGAAAGATCGCGCCTTCTTGGCTTTCGGTGCCACTTCTTCATCCGGTAGGGCCTCCACACAAAGCCAGAGCATGTTATGGATCAAAAAGGTTGAAGTTTTCCGACAATTTCATTCATTGAAAACTTGAATCACCCCTCTCAAAGTTTACTTGGTGCACCAGTCGTTTTGTGTTGGCTGGTCACAATATGACTGTGTGTTGGACGATACGGTGCCCAACCCACAATGAGGATTGAATAGCCTCGACACAGCTGTCTGCCAGGGCATCTCCAGCTTCTTCAAAGTCTTCCAGATCCTGGGGGCAAGGTACCAGGCACGAACATGTTTGGCATTTTTTGACACCTGACCCACGGCCCCACCAAGGAAAGGTATAAATGTAGGGTTCCTTTGAGTGTTTTTGGCTTTTTTGGCAATGGCAAGCCACCTCAACATGGTACATGTTTAGGAAAACCCAAACCAGTCCTTGCTAGAAGCTCTCTCTGCTTGTTTCTTGGTATGCCGAACATCTGGTTTGTTTTCTGAAGACCTGGTTTTGGTAGCAGAAAGGCTCGAAGATTCACTTGCCGGCGAGCCAACAGTCTTCTTGGCCTGAGGCGGCGTTGCCGCCTGCGAAGACTTCTCAGCAGTCAACTTCTCGAGGCGTGCTCTTGCAGCCTTGGATTGAGCGTGATGGCAGTCTCCCAATGCATAACCACCTCAAGGAAGTGGGATAAAAGCAACCTAGCAACTGCTAAAACATCTTGGTAATCCATGCTTTCCTTCTTGGCCTGATCCTTCAAGAATGATGCCCCGCGGAGTAAGGAGTTAGTAGACCATTGGCGAGTAGGCAAAGATTGCATCCTTTCCAAACTTTCGGCCATGGCAAAATGATATTCCCCTGATCCACCTGCTATCGGAGAGTCAAACCGTATCAGACAAAATTGGAAGATTGAATGCTGTACATATATTGCTCCATGTGCACCTTGGCATGGTGGATATGCAATATGAGATATAATTTGCATGACATAATTTTCACCGAAGCCATTTCGGGGAGAGTCTTGGACGATGCACACCCTCTTTCGGTGCACTGATGGCCACTGAGCTTGGCACAACCTGCAATCGTAGAATCGTACGATTGTACGACCAAATCTCAGGCCATTATACAGCACCAGAAACGCAGAAAATCTTGTAAATTGGCAGTCAGACAAACCCTGCAAAAGTGTACCATTTTACCCATAATTTTTGTACGGATATTTACGCCACTTTTACGGGTATTTATGCCACTTTCCCCTATTTCAGTCACAGTGTACTATTTTCCAAGGTTTTGTAAATTTGTTCACTTCCAGGGTCAAAACGTAGATTGACTGCTTCACCTTGCAAAAAACGTACGATTGTCCGTTTAATTGGGGCCCTTAAATGGGGCACATGTTCGGAGAATTTGTTTCAATTCGTCCGAAAGGTTCAAATTGTGGGATCCCCACAGATATCGAAGCAAACCAGTCATCTGGGCATCTTCCCACAAATCCGACATCAGCTCCGGGAGCACGATGTGCAGGTCATCCAAGTCAGAAGCCTGCAGCCAGTACCACAGGACAGCATGTGTGAAGCTGAAGGCTGGGTTCCTGGTGAAAAACCCTAATTGAGCCTATACACACAGGGGATAACAAACTTCAATCAAGAGACTGGGTTTGGATGCTTTGGGCCCACAACTTCCTTCTTGAAGCGATTCATCAAGGTAGCGAAACGTCTTCCATACCCAATCGGATATTCCCTCAGCAGGCTGCTGTTGGTAGACCGGGTGTTTTTATGGGGGTGAAAATTGACAAATTGCTATATATTGATCAACAAATTTTCCCCATAATCTGAGGGATGGACTGTGATTGGCGAAGCCTGCCATTCCCTTTGAATCTCTTTTCCCATTGCCATCAAAGTAGGAATCTGCCAATGGATAGGATCGCTTGGATTTAATTCTCCCAAATTTTTTGGCAGTTGCAAAGAACCGGATGGCCGAACTGTTGCTCCATAAGCAAGTCCTCTTTGCCGTCTTTGATCCCCAGCCCTTCATCCAAAATGCTTGCTTGAAGACCTCAGGGTGTGCGCAGATCCAACGATGTATTTTAAACTTTGGGGTTTGTGCGTTCACATTCATTCCACAAGTTTCAACACAAATACCATGGTCTGATTGATGTTTTGTTAGTAAGATCCCAAAGTTGAAGCCAGGCTACTGTGACTAGGCCCAAGAGAAATTGAAATCTGGGGTGCCGAAAAACAAGTGAAGAAGATGGCTGTTCCAACACCCATACCCCGTTCTTCGCCATGATGAGGACGATGGCCAAACAGATCCTGCGCAGCTGCAAGTTCCAGAGGCATTTGGCCAGCAAGGGATCGGGGACAATCTTTTATTTTACAAACCTTATATACAATATATATATATATATAATTATATATAAAGTAATCTATTTGTATACTTATATACACCTGACATTAGGCCAGCAAGATTTTCAGAGCACTCCTTGATGCCAACAAATTGGATATTTGGCATGATGGCGAATTTGGGTCACCGAGTGGTAGAAAATAGTGACGGAATGTCGAGCCGCGAGAAATTGCCACAAAAGTACAGCAAAGTAGTCCAATGGACACTACCACATTGTCTTTGGCTTTCATGATGCTCATCAACAGTAGCCTCGGTAAATTGGGAACAACATGGGACCTTCCTTCAGTGAAATCAAAATTATCAAATATACAACTCTTTGCGAGGCCACAAGCTTTTAAGACACAAAATTGTACAATTTAAAGCTGAGAAACCCGAACCCTGATGGGGTAGTCAAGTCAAGTGGGTTTCCATTAGATGTTGGAAGTCCCGCAGCAGCCCGAGCTTCAGCCCATGGATTCCAATCCCTGATGTCTAGGTTGCATGTTGGATACCCAGCTTCCCTCCAACATCGAGACAGGGTTGCCACCCCACTGAAGAGCTCCATCGCATCATAGGATCCCGACTGTAGCCGGGTCCATGTCGGTAATCACATGAACAATTTGACATGTGAAAAATGCCAGTCTGAATGCTGCGAGACTCTATTGATATAAAAGAATCATCGTATCTTTATATATATTTAGAAAAAGATGTCATATCCACCCCATCCAACATTAGAAGCAGCTAAGTACTGCTATGGGCTGCTTGCTGCACCTGCTCCCATTGCATTCCATCAATGGAAGCCAGCAAGATGGTAGCTGCAACCAAGACCTGAGAGAGATGCATGCAAGATTGTGTGCGTGTGCATTAAAATCTATATCACGGATATGGATTTGAACGTGTTCCCATGTCAGGCAAGTCGCCCCGGGGGCATTCCAAACTGAGAGCTGCCGCAGGAGTTTTCGCAACGAGGCAGGATCCATCATGGCTGTATCTTGAATTTGTTAAGAGAACACATGTGGAAAAAAATATTTATTTGTGCTGTTGGGATTTCTTCACATACTATAGATGCTGTTTTTGTGTCGTACGTCTGCCAAATGGCTGCAGTGCATTTCCTTTGTATGGCGCTGACTCCAATCCAGAAATTCGATGAAGGCAGTTGTATGGTAAACTATTTTATTGTATGCCTATACTCTTTACATACACAGATATAATATATATGTATATATATAATATATATTTTATAAACAATGCAAATCTTCTGTCACCCAGCAGAAGCGGCCAGCAGGGGGAGCTGCGCACCTCTTCCAAGCCGTCGACGCCTAAGGCGACTGGCAAAGTGGTTGCCTGGCATGAGTTTGAAGTTGCTGACAAAGAAAATTTGAAGTGAAACTTTCAGCGTTCATCTCTCTGCATTTTTTTATCCGTTAAAATTAAGACGCAGCATTTCAAAATTGAAAATGGGTTTGTGAATGCCATTTTTCTCACCGCAACTGGGAATCCATCGCCACAACTTGGGCTAAACCCCCAAAGCCCACTTTCGAAATTGAGACCGGTTGAGGCATATGAAGAGATCACACGGAGTCTAATCATCAGCAGGGAGGGCAGCGTACATGCAGAACATCGACTTTCAACAAATTAGCTTGAAGCAACATTTAAGTTTTGAATCATTCTGATGCGGAAGCCATGCATGTAGTCCCATCAGCTGCTGGAACCCCCCAAGACTATGGCAAGGAATTCCCTGCCAAGTACACACCGGAATTGCTGATGTCTCAGCTCAAGCAGCAAAGGTCGGAAAGCCATTCATCACCACAAGCAATGCCTTTGATCGCAGGAGTTGGGCGGAGAGGGGGGCAATGGAAACAAAACTGGAGAAAGTTGTGAGAGATCCGGCACTAATAATACAGGTGTGCTGTTGCAAAAAAAATTGAAGCTGAGATACCTGGACGCTCATGGGTAGAAGGCTGGTAGATCTTCAGTCCACATCCTTTGAAACGGACTTTGTCAACCCCTTAGGTTTCTTGGCACCTTTTTTTTGCTTGCGGGTGGGTGCCTTCCTCTTCCTGCGGGGCTCAGCCGTGGCAGCAGCAACCTGCGAAGCAGAAGAGCCAGCAGAAGCAGAACGCTGCAGGGCCTCAATCTCTCGCATCGCTTTGGCAGTTTTTCCCCTGAACTTTGGATTCTGGCATGTCCTGCAACCACCATAGATAAAGCGGCAGTTGGCGCATCCAAACTGCTGCTCCGGCAAGATCTGGTAGCGCCAGGTTTTGCCAACCTTCACCCTCTCTTGATACACCTTCTTGGAGGGAGGCAATGTCTCACCCTGGCTCTCATCAACCTTTGTTTCCTTTCTCGCCTTTGCCTTGCTAGAAGGTTTTGCTTTTCCCTTGCTGGTTTTGCTGACTACCGCAGGAACTGTGGCGTCTGTTTCTGATCCTTTCTTCTTCAAGTGCTGCTTCATGATGCTAAGTCTCTTGATGGGGCTGTTACCAACTGTTTGGGATGGCTTTGACTTGCTTGCTTTGGCGCTAGTCTTTGCGGTTTTCTTCCCCTTCTTTCCCTTCCTGCCCTTTTTCATTCCCTTCCTCTTTGTGGCACGCTTCTGGGTCTGCATCACCGGCGTGATTGCAGTGGTCTCTGCAGATTGCACCTCAGGGGCACGTGCATATACATAGACTTATAATTATACAAATGGTACTGTTGGAATACCATGTGCGCAGATATCGTCACGTGTATATTACATACATAACTCGATGAGAGAAGTTCATCATAATTATCATCACCATATATGATCATATATATATATGTATATATACATATATATATATATACACATATATACGTGCAGATGCATGCATAAAAATATTGGTTTAATAATACACATGGTACTGTTGGAATACCATGTGCGCAGATATTGTCACGTGTATACTACATGTACACATATCTCGATGAGAAGTTCATCATAATTATCATCGCCATATATGATCATATATATACACGTATATATACATGTATACGTGCAGATACACGCATAAAAAAAATACTGGTTGACATGGTGGCTGTTGCCCGATCAATATTGAACCCTAAAGCGCGGCTGCCACGCCTCTGAATCTCCAACTGGAACCGTGGGGCTCGGCATGGTATGCTCAGCTTCCATAGGCAAGGTATCCACCTGCAAGGGGACCACATCAGAAAAAAGAAAATATTGAGATATATTGAGATGTCTCAGTGGTTGGGAAAAGGGACATCAATCTCATTGGTTGGGGGATGGATTTGTTTCTGCCGTGCCTCGTCAGGATTTTCAGCTGGCGCCGGAAGAGCGAGAGCACCTATGCCAGGACGTGTGGGCTTTTGCTTTTATTTTTAAACCGGCCATGGTCAGGATTCAAGACATGTCAGAAAATTGAAAGAAATAACCTCATGTGAACCATATTGTCCAGTGAAAGTGGCAAACAACTATATAGGCCTTCGTCTCTGACCTGGATTTCAAAAAAGAGCATTCCTGAAATGCCAAGCCATTTTCGATACACAAATTCCAGAAAAGCAGGCCCAAAATAATTCAATGGCCATCTATACCTCTATAACCCTTTTAGATTGTGGCTCTAAATGCTGATCTTTATATATATATATATTATATACATATATATATATATATATATACGTATATATGCTAAGAAATCTCAGGAAATGGATATCGGTTGTCACGTGCCTTCAGCCCGTGACTTGGATGGCGGCTTCCGATCAAGCGATGGTGACCTGAGAACAATAGCAATTTTCTGGTACCCATCTCTCCGTCATCATACTCCAACATATATTGCAAAAAACACCTATAAAATCCTCTCAACCCCCCGATGGATTTGCTTTTTGGGAATTTGGTTTTTAATATATACAGCGATACGATGAAAAACCATTGGTTGCAGGCCCATTCTAAGGTTATGACTTTGTTGATGTAGGCACTTCCTCCAAATCAGCGATGGCCTGCAAGACCTTCTGAAGTTCCAACTCTTCTGCCATGGTCATCTCAACAGGAATCCCCATTTCTTTCAACTTCAAATTGGCTGGGCTTTCAGACTCAACGCACTGGTCACCGTACAAGCCAGCCCCCTTCCGCTGAATTTTTTTCTGGGGCATTTCAAAGGGACTTGTGTCATCACCATCATCATCCTCAAAGAATGTATCATCATCAACAGGCATTGGAACGTTGACCCCTTGGTCAGAAGCCACAGGGTGATCCCCACTGTCAGCGCTCCATGCCCACTCTTTGCGCAGCCGAGCAATCATGTTGAACAGGATCCTCACACGCTTGTCCTGCAAGAAGGGAAGTTGAGGCCCAGGGGTGGGGAGAGTAGTGTGGCAAGATATCCACTAAGGGGATGCACGTACTGCACCGATATGGATGTTGAATCTTCCAATCTGCCCATGATAAAAGCCCAGGATTCCTGAAATATATGCACATATTATTAATATATAAATATATGGATTGTGGTGATCCGTGTGGTTTTACACATGCCCCAGTTTGAACAATGCCCCCTCCCATTCCCATTTCCCATCTGTCACGTGGGCGCTGGGATCTCTTCGCCGCATCATTCTGCCTCCTGAAAGCAAACGTGTAGAGGCGCCTAAGCTCCCATGCATCACAGTAGGAATCGTTCTTGATGTTCTTGCTCTCGAACTTCATCAGTTTGTACAACTTCTTTACCTCCCAGAAAAAAGGTGTTATCAGGTGGCGCGGGAATTTGACCATGGTGCCTGTAAAGAAAAGGTAGGTCATGCTAATGTGGGTAAACTACCTCAAATAAACAGATGCATGTGAAAAAGTCCAAGGACGGGCCTCGTCTTGAAGTTGGTAGATATCCACGAAACAACCATGAAAAATAGCCACCATCGTGATGATTGCATCCACATTCAGTTGGAGGGATTTGGTACAAACTGGATGATGCTCCCACTCCGGATTCTCTTCCAATTCATAAAGCGGGGTGGGCCACTGGATGAATGAATGTCCACATCTAAATCGGCTCCGGATCACCGCAACATGTTCTAGGGCGGTGGCAAGCTCACCCGGGGAGTATTCCATAGGGATCAAGGGTCGGTCACGAGCATACAACAGCAATGCCACCAAAAGCACTTGCTGTTTGATAAGATAAATGTTGCAGAAATCATGGATGTTGTTCTGCCATTTGCTCTTGCGAACTCTCCAACAGGACGCGCGACTGAAAGTTGGCTGAAGCAGGCCAGGCTGACGTGGAGCCATCTCGGTAGCTCACCAAAATCCTGAGAGCAGAATGGGGCAAAACTATGGTATACATATTTTATCCGCTTCAAACTTGAAAAGTCATACGATAAGAGTTCTGAGTTGTAAGGACATGCTAGAGAACTATGGCGACTTTTAGCCACTCGATGGCTGAAATTCAAATGCCATTGAGCTTCCACTGTGAAACATGATCAAGCCGCACCATGGGGAGACAGATCCTGCAGCTTGCCAAACGCTGCCAGGACGAAAACGAAACATGAGAGCAAAATGGGGCATGGTGAAATCAAAGTGCAACTTTAAAAGTGTCCTGAGGTAGTCTGATGGCTGTTGGCCATGGCGCCCGTTCGGCAAACGCGTGCTTACTATCCGAAAATATCCGAAATTGTCGGGAAAAATGTGATCCAAATCTTACAAGTGATATCTTCGATTATATTCTAAGTCTTCCTGGCCGATTCTTTTGGTCAAAGAGCATGATTTTACCATGCCCTGCCATTTCTCACCTGACGCAGCTTGCCACCTGAGAGAAAAATCTTCCTGGATGGCCGAGCGGCAAGCATGACAAGGCACTGGAACCCCCTACAAAGATGAGAAAATTCCAAGTGATCGAAATTAGTCAAAGTATACCATTTTCAGAGGAAATTCCAGAATAATGATCACTTCCTCAAAGTGTACCATAAAAAAGGGAACTGACGCGTTCCAGGTATGTATGTACGTATGTACGTACGTATGTACGTATGTACGTATGTACGTATG